CAAGAGTAGATGAGTCATTCAAAGTAGTTGCTAACAGAGGGAAAGCAGAGGCGTGAGATCTCCGGACTTGGGGTTTAGAGTAAATGAAGGATTTTTGAAAATACGAAATACAGTTTGAGCCCATCTGTAGGACAATTAAATGAGCAATAATAAGCAGAGATGTTATTGCAAAGAAAAAAGCAAAGCACCAATGTAACTACTCAATAAATTCTGTTTATTATTATGAAAAAAATAATATATAAGTAAATAATAATAATATAATTATCATTATTTTCTCAGGCTTCCCTATGACTTGAAAGTTAAAAATAACCTGAGGAAATTCAAATTTATAATCTGTCAGAGTATTCCATGTGTTAAAATGATACTTACTCAAATCAATTTCAAAACTGAAAAAAAGTGAATTCATAAAGAGTTTACTATTACAATATTTACTCACAAAAATTTTGGAGTAAAATTATTATAAATTTTGGATCCTAATATGGAATGGACATTTCAAAGGGCATATTTTAAAAAGTAAATGAGAATATGTTACTATTTTGTGACAAAATATTTTTGAAGAAACACTCCTTTGAAATATGTATTATTTTAGTTTCAAATTGTCTAATATAAAACTCAATGTTTCTTTAGTTTCTCTCACACAAAACACACAGCAAAAAAATCTAGATCACTCATTTTATGCTTTTTCAGAATACTAAGTTAAAACAACTAAATGACTATGCTCAGATTTTTAAAGTTTATTTTGTTGAGTTTATGCAGAGTATGTAGACATGAGAAAACATTCTGAAGATAAAATTTGAAATCAGTTGGACTAGTTTAGCAGAGTGTTTAATGCAATTATTTTACATTTTGGGGATACTATTTTGTGACTTTGCTATTATTTATGAATAAAGAATGACCAAGTAATAACCTACCTTAGTAAATGTAACATTGTAAACATCTCATACAGGAGATTTTTTAAATCCCTTTAACATGAATGGCATGGTTATAGAGTAAATACATCCCTACTCTATAATTTCCAAAATAACAAAATTTGCGTACATCACTTTAATTCCAAGTAAAATGTGTATAGGAAAAATTAAAACAGACATGTTTTTAAAATCCAGAAAACAGTAAAAGTATACCTCAAAGAGATGGGATGGGTTAAAAACATGTAGAAATTTAAGGAAGGAAAACCATTATGAATATAGTTAGTTTGAGATACTAAATGGATTAAAAAAGTAAGATAGGATGTCTTCTTTAAGTTTTTGATCCCCTTGTAATTGATGCCAGAGGATAAGCATGCTTTCTTTTAGTGCTTAAATGTAGAAGCATTTGTTATAATCTAGATGAATGACTGAATGAGCTATTGAGTGAATGAATGTCTCTTTTCTCCTAAAACTTTGAGTTATGTGGACTATGAGCCACTGCAATTTGTCAGTGGGTGGGGAGAGCTGATATATTCTATGGAAAAGGATGACGTTCTTATATGAAATAACTCCTCACCTTATTTTTTTCTAAAAGTGCAACCTTAGAATTACTTCGTTTCATAATATGTAGAAAGAAGTTAATTGATATCTTGCTAAGAGGTATAATATTTAACTTACATACATACAGCCTTAAACATGTATTGCTTGTTCCTTTTCTCCCTACAAAACAAAAGCTCAGTGATATCATTATAAGACAGCATCACAACATCCCATCAAAATTGTATTTGTGAGTTAAGAGTTGTGTGTTTTAAACATTGGTTTAAAAATTCATATGTGTATATATATATATATGCACACACACATACATACACACAAAATGGCAACATTGCTTCATATCTTTAAAATAGTTCAAATTTCATAAAAGTAACTTTATTAAATCCACAGTCTATAAAATAAAAGGGCATAAGACTTTAACAAATAATTTCTGTAGTCTTAAAATTATCAAATGAGTACATATATATATATATATATAAATTTGAAATAATGTCCAAAGACAAATATATAGACACATATATATGTATGTGTGTATGCAAACGTATATGCTTATTTGTTATTAACCAATAAATTTGGAGTCAAATCTTGATATGCCTATAGAATTGGTGTATTCTATAGACATTGAATAAAAGACAAAAAATAAATAACCAAAAAGAAAACAATGACTTACATGGCCCCAAAGACAAAAGTATTATTTAGAAGGAGAGGATTTATATCCAACTGAAATTTGATGTTATGGTCCCTTATTTGTTTCATGTAACACTTTAGGAAAGGGTTATATTTTACTTTCATGAATTCAAGAGCAATTTCAAGAAGTATTTGCTTAATGGCAAAGAACAATACCGTTAAAAACTCAAACAAAAAATGCATCTATATCCTTCTCTCTTTATCTTTTTCAGTGTTTTAGTTCTACTTTATATTTGTCTCTGAATTTGGTGGTCTCATCTCTTTATCAAAGGAAGTCATAGATTCTTGACTAGAGACTTTTAAGGATAAAATAGACCACAAACTCTCAGGAATAATTTAGCTATAATCCAACTTAAAGGCAGAAAAACGGTGACAGTTTCCTTTCCTATCATTTATGTGTAATTTGTTCATTTCCACAGGAATGACATTTCTAAATTTTGCGCTTAGAGAAAATTACCTAGGTTATTTTAAGCCATAATTGATGGGCCAAAATTATTCCTACTTTAATATACTATCCTGCAAATTTATCAAGTTCATTTATCATGTAAGTTCTAAGAATGAAGGAACAGATCAAATGTGGATGTACTGATCCCTTATGTTGATAACTGTCCTATAATAACATTTCAAATTTGACTTCACATGCCAAAGCAGAGTCTCTGAAAATTATATACTTTGCTTTAATTTTAAGACATTCTTTGATGATTTTGAATATCTTTCATTGAGTAATTAATGTGACAAATTTCTGTCAAAAATATTTCTGCTTTACTAATTCTAGAGCAGTTTTTGGTTTTTAAAGTGAGACAAGAATTCTATTACTGGGTCATATCAGGATCTTCAAGAGGGCATGCATCATTTCAAAAAGAAATCGATCTGTTGTGAGTTGTGAAAAGGCAGGTTTTAGAGCATTTTAGCTGGATTCTCTCGATTGGGTGGCGGCGATGAGAGTTGGTAACAAACTCTCTAATCGTATTTTTTTTTTTTTAAAAAAAGTGTCAAACATCTTTCTGGTCACTTTGGCAGAAGTAACTCATTTCTCAAATCTGTGAGCTGCCAGTAGCATTGCTAGTAAGAAACAATTCATATGAGGCTACTAAGTTCCATATTTGTTTGTTTCACCCTCAATCTGTTATGCCAAAGCAAAGATACGGGCACTGGAAAATCCTGGATATAAAAGGAAATTGTCATGACAACAAAATACAAAAGTCCCATTTTTTCAGATTCATCAGCATGGTTCTCAAACATTAGGTCAGTGGCAATATATCCCTCTAAAGAAAGATGGATGAAAAGATCAATATGTCTTTTAGACCATGTAACACATTTGTTCCTATTGCATTACTACTCAATAACATGTTAAATACCACTCTGTAACACTTTAAATATGACATAATATTTAAAAGGTACATGTTAAGAGTGTAAGTTGCAAAAAATTCAGTATAAATTTATATCTAGTTATAAATTATCATTTATCAAATTTTATGTATATTATGGTGAATTCCTGAACTAGGGGTCAGGTTTCTTACGAATGCATGGGAGGCATTTGTGCCCATCACATCACAGCATCCTCAACTTATGATGACTGAATTGATTTAATTTAAAAAAAGGCACATTTCCTGGGGATAAGTAACTTGGAAAGATTCCAAAGGGGAAAACAAAACAAAAATACAAGAGGATAATATACGTCTTAAGACTTCTACAAATTGTGTGTGTGTGTTTAGCCAAAAAGTATAAGTGCACAAGTAAAGAACTACTAAATTGAGACTGTAAAATTCAAGTATAATTTACATAACGATCTGATAGATTTCAGTCATTGTTAAAAAGCCGTGGTAAAGTAGAAAACACATAAAAAGGATAAGAGAGCAGATGACTTCTACATTTCATAAACTGGTTATTTAAAAAAAATGAATAATTCTAGTCTTTTAATATTGTAATGTTTAGTCCTTTTTTGAAGCACTTTTATTGGTTTCAAAATTTGGTAAACAGAAATATTCACGTTCTATTGCAATTTAAATATTTTCAAATTAAAAATTATAAGTATGTATAATTGCATACTTGTGATACTTAGACACCTAAAGTATTTAGAATTTGGAATAAAGAATATTATAGAAATGTATATTACTTTATTACATTACTTTTTATTGCAAATACATCCAAAATATATATATTACTAAATTTGCAAATATTTCACAAAATATCTTCTCTATAGATATAATTCAAAAAATGAATTCATAAAGTTAAAGTATAAATTTATATAATCTAAAGAAAGCATATGCCATTCTATTTAGATATTTTTGTTGCTAATCTCTTTACATATTTTTTAATGTTAGTTACAGATTTACTGAATCCCTTTGACAAACATACATTGAAAAATTTTGTTAAAATTAGTAACCCAATTAAAATTATATGTAACATTTCAGAATTGAAACAAAATTAAGTATCTTTCACATTTTGCATTTTCTTAATTGACACTTTTGTGTCTTGCATATTTGCCAAATTAGCCTTTTTATTATATGTAATAGATATAATATATTGCAAATTAATATGTGCACGTTTGAATGCATATGTGTTCATAATATGCTCAATAGTTTACTAGCTCAATTAGTGTTATTATTATAACATCCTTATTCTTAATTAAGCTTTTTCACTTTAACAATTTTCAAATCTCAATGGAAACTTTGATAGCCAGAAAAACTTGACAAAGAGGAAGCAAATGTAATAATCATATGCCAACTTTGATAATAGATTTGTCCTTCAGAGAAACATTTAGTTTTATTCAGCTATGCAGAAAGCTCCATACTGAATATATTTACTAAGAAACAAATAACTTATTATATTAAAAATAAATATTTTTCTCACCTCTTTAAGATTGACACCTTTATTGTTCAGAGCATCTGATAGTACAGAGCTAAACACGTGATGAATCGAAAAACAAAATCCTGGGGAAAGAAAAAGACGCAGTAGTGATACATTCCTGCCGTTAAAACTGAACGTTTTAAATGTCCTAGATATCGGCAACTTTTCTTTTCCTCAATCTGAATTGTACAGATGGTGAATTGTTCTCACAAATATCTGTTTTAGAGAAAGTTCAATATACATGCCATAGTTTAAAAATTTGGGGAATGTCTTCCTTATGAAGTGCGAACTAGAAAAGAGCTGTTCAAGAACTTTTTGACCTTACATTCATTGAGATAATTTATATATAATTCGATATATGCCTGATTATCACATTCTTACCTGTGTATCTTCAAATTTTAGGAGTTCTGCAGAAACTGAAATTCAAAATTCATGTTAAACACATGAGGAACAGGAGGAGAGATTGTTCTTATTTCCTTCACAGTCTTCTCGTGAAAGCTCACAGGGGCCACACTGCTCTGAGTTACAGAAGCTTGCGCTCTTAGTACCACGACACTCAGTATGTCACTGCTTGCTGGATGCTATTTTGGGTTCTCTGAGTAGAGCCCCGAACACTGAGCCTTTTGTGCAAAATATCATAAGGGCACTCTGAGGTTCATTCACAGTCTGGGATTAAAATGCAGACAGCTCCAGCAAGTAGTAGGAGCTGATTATCTTTTCTTTTTCTTTTTCCTAACAACGAACAAAAAGAAAATAAAGTACTTTTGGCTTTGGGGTGATAAGAAGGGAATTCAACTTATGTAAGAGAATTCTGCAAGTGGAAAGGACATGCCCTCTGCTTGGAGATTAGCTGATGAAACAAATAATCAGTTTAAAGCAGGCACAAAAGCTACTAAAAAGAGCAGCACTTTCTGCCATGTGTCTATGCCTTCTGGCTGCTTCTTAATTCAGTCTTTCTCCTTAGGAATCAAGTAAAATAATGAAAGAAAGGGTAATGTCTAAATTATATTCCTTTTCTTTGATTTATTACCTAAATATGCTTATTTTATTAAATTAATAATTAGGTTTTGTTATAAATAGTTGTTGTTTAATATGAACTATATCAAGCTCTATGCTGTTTACTCAACCTGTTTTTAGTTAAAAATCATTTTTGAACCAAATCAGAGAGAGGTTAAAATAATGTCAAGGGTGTTGAAAACTATGATTGATGTCTATAAAACTTAATATTTTTAAGGTTTACACATGCAATTATTGTGAGGAGACAGCCTCAACTTTCAGAAATATACCTGAGTTCCACAACATTGGGACTATATGCATGTTCATTGCTTTTTTATCATAACAAGGGAAGGATGGTAGGAGAGGGATTATAACTAATGCTGGTGAGAACCAAGTAGATTATGTGATGTCTGAATCATGCTTACTTCATTTTTGAATTCATAAAACCAAATTTTATTAGTTACCATTGGCTAAATAAATGTTAGATGCCTCTGTACCATGCAACAAAATCAACAAAAATAAGCTTTGTCCCGTAAGCTTTTTTTAAATCACAGTAAGAACACTTGACATGAGATCTACCCTCAACAAATTTTGAAGTGCACATACCATATTGTCAACTATAGGCACTACATCGTGCAGCCGATCTCTAGAATTTATTAATCTTGCGTAATAAAAACTTTATACCTATTTTTCAACAACTCCCATTTCTCCAACCCCCAGGCTCTGTCAACCACCATTCTACTCTTTGCTTCTATGAGTTTGACTAATTTACATACCTCATCTAAATGGCATCATGTAGATTTTATCCTTCTGTGAATGACTGACTTCTCTTACACAATGTTCTCTAGATTCATCCATGTTCTAGTGTTTATGTAGGAATCTAACATTTTATGGGATATTGTTTCCTGCCTTGATACAATATCCAGCTCCACTTTGGATTTCAATTACACTTTTTCAACCTGAGAGTGCTTGTTCAACATGATGTCCCAAGGGCTTATTTTATGCCATAAGGGAGCAAGCATGGGTCAGCATTTGCTGTACTGATTAGTTGATATAGTACCACTAACAGGACAGTCAGGATGGTAGAAACTACACTGAGACAGGATGAGATTTTCTCAAGAATATACAGTTTGGAACTATATATTGTACATAGAATACCATTAACAGCAACTGTGATTTCATTAAATGGAAGATCTGTTATAAAACACCTATGGACAGTGTTCAGCTAGATTTGATTTTAATGTAGGCACAAAGTACCTTAAGTTACTTAAGAAATGTTTGTCCTTCCTAGAGGAGGAGAGGTGATAACAGAAGATAGGCTGGAACCCAGCAAACCTTTCTGTCTGTGCCACAATCCAGAGGGTAGGCTTGGCTGGACTGATGAGACTAGTCACCAAACAAGCTTAGAGATTGCTTCCACTGCATTTTTCTCATATCAGGAGAAAAGCACATGAAGTCTTTTCCAGGTATGGGAAGCAAAAGAAATTTTGAATAGTGAATGGAACATGACTGCATAAGAATGGAAGATCTCAGAATTAAGTACACCACTATCCACTGGAGAGTCAAAGCCATTACAATAAGACTTATTGGGAATCTTCACATCATAGAATAAAAGTAGGGGAAAGTGGACAATTCCTGAGACACAGATGCTGTTTCATAACTACACAGAAACATTCTGGTAAACAATCGTCAGCTTTCACATGCAATCTCGGGGAATTCTACAAATGTCATCTGCCAGCAGGCAGAGGAACAGCGCTTGAAGTTTCAGAATCATTCAAACAAGGATTATATTAAGTTAATCTAAATAGAGATTTGAATTAAAATATTATAATTCATCAACGCTCTGAAGAGCCACCGATTTCTTTGTTTAAACCAGATAATTAAGGAATGTAAATCTACTGAATAGCTGAAGACTGGACCAGCTAATGAAGCTCAGATCTGACAGCAGACAGAAGAGGAAAGCCAAATTTTATTCAGGTTCTGACCCACATCTTGAAGATCAATCTTTAATCAGAAAGTTAAGGCCCATCTGGTTCACAGCATAGGCTACCTGACTGCTTTCAATTTGGCGGTTAGGCTGAAGCCGACCAGTTGTGGTCAGGATGGTAGAATTTACAGTCTACGTCCTCAGCCCCATGGCCTTGGAGCACACTAGTTCTCAAATGAAAATTATATCCATGAATGGTTTTGAAAAAAACTCATGATATATTAAGATAGAAAAATTTGAAGATGTATTAACTGCATCATAACATTGTATCAATTAGGATCCTTTTGGCTGCCATAGACAAAACAAAACGAAACTAAAAAAACAGCTTAAACGATGAAGAAATGTGACCCATACATAGAGAGACAAAGTACTTGATCCAATCCTTCACATTGCAGTTGTCCAAGTTCATTTGTTTTCTTCTTGTGCTTAAAGTAATTTTTTCCTAGGAGTTCCTAAAGCACTCCATTTTTGTCTTATTGACTAAAATAATTATTTGTCTGTATCTGAACAAATTATACCAAAGAGGAAAGCTTAGACACATTAAGCCATTCCTACACCTGGGAGTAAAAAGTACTTGGTGGAGAAATAGATTAATTTCACCAAATCTGGGTGGGGTAGTTGAAACTCGTTGGCAACTAGCAGTATTCATTATAGACATGTGTGTAAAATACCTCTTTAAAAAGAGGAAAATAAAAATAATAGTTTTCTCTATGGATGATCCCTAGTTGTTATTCTTTTCTAATAGTCCAATTTGCTGTATTTTCTTTTTTTAAGACTGAACATATATCCCAATGATAAGTAGGAGAAAATCAAATGCACAGTGATAAAATCAACAATAAACAAAACTCTAGTTAATCCATATACTTCAAGCAACAGCAAATTGTTTTTTGTCAAATTTAGTAAAACTTGGCTCCTGGTAAAGAGACATTCTATTGAATATGGCCACATTCTGTATGGTCTTAGAAGATATACCTTTTAAATTCTAGTTGCAGCAGCCATTGGTTTGATATAATTAAAATTTACCTTTTCATATATATCCATATTTTCTTTTCTTTTTTTTACGTTTTGTTTTGTTACTATTTTCTTCTGTGAGTAGCCCTTGCTCTAGCTCTCTGCATCCAAGCAATAATCCTGTTTGATTAAACTACAATATAAACTCCACGACAGAGGAAATTGGCAGTTAATAAATGCATAAATAACAGAAGTCCTTGTTCTAAAAAACATAAGTATATTAGTAATTGGTGATACATAAGCAAATTATTTAAAATATTGGAATTCAGAAATAAAACCCCAGAAATGTAGGATTTTCACCCTTCAGCCCTACTTCTCAATCTATCAGTCAACCATCTATCATTTTTACCTTTGCAAAACATTGTGTTAGAGGTTATCGTTATACAGAGACATATAAGACTGTGACCAACCATTTCTTGAAAATGAAAAGCACAAATGATTTTTAAGCATCAAACAGGGTAAAATAAAAATAAAAGTCCAATGGAATCAGTTGGGAAAGGAGGAAGGTCAACCTCCACTGAATATATGATGAAATGTGAAATATGTGTTATTAATCAAGAGCTGATCATGGGAGAATCTGAGAACATAACACCTTTTGTGCAGACTGAGCTGTGTGCTAAAATTAGATTTCCTGTATATTGCTTAAGTTCCCTGAAAAATAGTGGTATCTCTAAGACATTTCTGCATTTTATGAAAGATTTTTCATGTATCTATAAAAAAGAAAAATCCTGCTTCAATGGTATATATTTTAATTAATGAAAACTAATTGAAAATTAGTAATATTTTAGCAGTAAACAACAATCCTTCTCAACATCAGGATCTTCAAACTAGAGAAGCATGTGCCAAATCCACCCCACCTTCTGGTTTATAAAAACAGCTTTATCAGAACTTGGTCCTTCTTTGTTTATATCTTGTCCAAATAACCTGTGGCTGCTTTTGTGTTACAAGGGCAGAGTTGACTAGTTCCAGCAAAGACTCTTGACCTACAAAACTGAAATATTTATTACCTAGACATTTACAGGAAAAGTTTACCAACTCTTACTTTATATTCATGTGATATAATGACTTTTAATTAATACTTATAGCATAGATTACTTGAAAATTAAATTACTTATATATTATCAATAGAAAAACACATGTATAAACACACACATAAATACACAAAAATCTACACAGCAGAAATCAGCTTATTCTACGTTATCTCGTCAGTCAGTGGGTCAATGACTTAATATGGTTGAATAAAATATTAGTTTTTTTAAAAGATAGCTTAAATATTTTATATTTACTTAAACATATACCTGAAGGTTAATTTAATGTATATATATATTGGTGTAGGATGTCAAGGCATTTTCTTTGAGATATTATCCTCAAAGTATCTCTGCATATTTTTCCATAAAACACATTCATTGCGTGTCTGTGTTTTCCAGTTTTCATCTTAAGAATGAAGAAAGAATTTAAAAAACGTGAAGATATAGGTGCAAAATCCTTTTTTAATAGACTAATTTTTAGAGATGTTTTTGATTCATAGAAAAATTCAGCAGAAAGTCCAGATAGTTCCCA